AGTTCTGAATTTCTACTTCACAAATCTAAACCACCCATATACGTGATTTTACTTTGTGTTAGGGTTTACTCTAACATTCCACCACTTCAAATGTCTGCAAAGGAACAGAGATTATAAACACCAGTGACAGGACAAAATGAAAACTTGGTTTTCAGATCTATAACCCCATGGATAAATGAACAGACCTCAGAAAAAAAGTCATGGTAATTGGTTCTCAAATGGATGATTTCTACTTCCAAATCATTGTTTTCTTCTGGTTATGGCAGAGTTGAAGCATTCAGCCTGCTTCCACTCTATTTAATTCACAGCCCAAGAAATTCTATTTGACTTTTTTGAGCCTTTAAGTGTTTTTCTCAGTACGTTTTTGTACATCCGCAACTAAGTAAGCCACTCTTCTCAAAGCTCTGTAACAAAGATACTTTATTCCCATACACTTTAAACACAAGAATATTTCATTGCATTCTGAATTATCTACTACACAAAACTGTAATCCTTTCCACTTGAACATGTGGATGAACATTTATCCTCAAATCCAGATCCAAACACTGCATGTCTTCTATTAAGACCTTTAAACATCACAATTTCTGTGCTTGCCTAGGCACACTGACAGCAGGTTTCCAATAGAGAATCTGACAAGAATGGTGGGCAAGAGCTACCTAAATGGAATATGGGCCTACCCTTCCAGTGAGAAAACTAAGTGCATCTAAAATGTATTTTCCTAAAGGGTGCCTTACTCCACTACTCTCAGGCACAGGTGTTACTACAAGGTTCATGCTTAACCTTTTTCATAGCTCCAGCTACTAACTTTATTCATTATGATGAAAAGGCTGAGAGAATTTGGATCGTTCAGTCTGGAAAAGAGAAGGCCTTGGGTGACCTAAATGCAGCCTTCCAGTGCCTGAAGAGCGCCTAAATGAAAGACGGAGAGAGATTGCATGCAAGAGCATATAGTGTCAGGACAAGGGGAATGGCTTCAAACTGAAAGCGGGCAGGTAGAGATTAGATACTAGGAAGAAATTCTTTATTGTGAAAATGGTAAGGCACTGGAACAGACTGCCCACAGAAGATGCGGCTTCCTCATCCCTGGAGGTGTTAAAGGCCAGACTGGATGGGGCTGTGAACAACCTGGTCTAGAGGGAGGCTGGAACTAGATGATCTTCAAGGTCCCTTCAACAACAAACTATTTTATGATTTCATGATTTTATGAGTGAACAAAATATCTCCATTTCACACTCAAAAACCACAGTCTTGTTCCACATGAAGCAACAATGCAGTTCCACAGTCTTTCCATCAAGGATCAGTTTCCTGATGCCACATTTCTTGCAGCTGTGCAGCTCTAACTGCTATTGTATTTGAGAAAGAGATCTTCATGAAGCCCTATCCAAATGATGATCTGCTTTGGTTTGAAAGGTTTCTGATAAACAAACTTTGGAAATATATGCCAATTGTACAGATCTCATTTGTGTGGCAAATGTTAAAAAATACTCTTACTGCCTTTATTCAAAAGACACTGAGAATTTTTCAGCTTTTATCAAATACACAAGTACAACACCTTCCCCACAAACTCACTGTCCAGACCACCTCAAATTCAAGTGAAAACATGCACCATTAAACCAGGGTGCACAAGGTACACAGCAGCTAATATTCTCCATTGTTAAATATTAAACAGGTACCTGTTTAAACTATTCATTTATTCACAGAAGTCTGCTACCTGCCTCCTACACCACAGGACTACCAGAGTTTATTACAGCAGAACTGTCCATGGGCAGTGAGCAATTTACTTTTCTCATACACCTTACCAAACACTTCTTTTGAGAAGAAATATCAAGGAATGACTGATAATCCTGGTAGATTAATCTGTGAATTAAACTGGAATCAGTCCTCACATACAGTATCTTTCAGATACTGTATCTTTCTTACCGTCAGAGTCATTGCATGTCTTTCCCAGCAGTCCCAAACTATACCTAGCTGCAGGCTAGCTAAATACCTCTAAATTATTAGCTTCTTAAAATAGTCTCTGGACACTTCTAAATGGCATCCTACCAAACATTCTGCTGTTAATGTATTACCCAAATGCTTAGCATTGCGGTGTAATAGTCACTTTCTTGGGAAAAAAGGCAAAGGAGACTTGCATTTAATGAGCCCCAACCACAAATCATTCTTCTTGCTTCACTGGTCTCTAGCGGACAGCTTCTAGCTAAATAAAAAGTAACTGCTGTTTGTGTCTAAAGAAGCCTTATGTACCGCATGATTCATTATTAGAAATATTTTCAGGTAAGTTCTATCTCTGAAAGAAAACTGTTTAACATAATTTGAGGGTAGTTTTCAAAGTAGACCTGCAAAATAACTGAAGGCAAAAAAAGCATCCAATTTGCATTATTTATCTGTAGCAATTTGATACTTCTGGGGCAAGAAAATGGTGTCTGCCTGAAGGTAAAAACACTCACATTTCCAGGTCAATACTACAAATCAGACTGAAAAACATCTCTGGCATATACTGGTTACACTGAAAAGACCCCATCTGAGACTGTGCTTTTTTCTTGAGGGAGACAGAAGAACAATTTACAATTAGATGAATGGACTCCAATTATATTTTCATTACATTGACCACTTATGGTCACTTAGTCAACACAAGCTATTTTTGCCCAATTTACAGCTAAGCAATTCTAGGAATGCTGGATTAAAGAAAGCAGACAGTTTTTGAGTTGCCATCTAAATTAAAGAATCAAGTAAAGCAAATATATATCTTTTCATCAGGAAAAAACAAAATTCCTACTCAGTCCCAAGTCCCTTCCACAACAAGTCTCCTCAATCTGCTATAGATCATCTAAATTATTTGTGTAATTTACTTCTTCCTTCCAAGAACACAGACATACTGTACATCTCCAACCATCACTTCTCTCTTTGCTGAGCTATAATAACTGTGATTATAAATCACTGTTTTGATTTCAGCCAGCCCTGAAAATTTCAGTCAGGTTCTTATCTGACTTGGTACAAAAAATATTGAATGAGGAATCAAATTTTTGGTGCAAAACGGGAACCTCTTTGTACTTAAATATCTAATGTATGCAGAGTCCAATAAAAACACTGTTTTGCTCACTGTATGAGCATACCAGGCTGAGTCATATCAGCACATCTCAGAAAAGTTCATTTCTGCAAGATGCACCTGGATTTTGGAGAGCAGGTGAAGTACCTTCAGAAGAACTCGATGCTCTCAGGATCTACAACCTAATGTCACCAAGACCATCACGGCACTCTGTTACAATCAGTTAAGAAGCAACAGGAAGTTCTTTGATCCTCCAAGCAGTAACAGCATTTTCAGACAATATGGTAAATAAAATGTGTAGAAAAGAGCAGTGTGATCTATTTGAAAATGGGGACAAAATTATTTTAGTTTCATAAACTTCTAAAGTTAAGTTAAAAATAATTCCACACAAAATAATCCGGGAAGATTTCTTTCCTCACATGACTGCAAATCAATTCTGTAACAGATGTAACTTTAAAAATATTTGTAGAAATAACTTGTGCAGTATAGTTTTTGTTTGGGCTTTTTTCAAGGTTCAATTAGGCTTTCTATGAAGAATCAGGAAAAAACCCCTACAACACCCTCATCACTGTGTTTCTAACACTTCTGCAGGGAAAAAAAATCTGGAAGCTGTATGTATCAATCAGCTTGCATGTTTTTACAGCATCCCAAACACCATGCTCCAAAAATCTTTTGCTATCTGTAGAATACTAGCCTTCCTCATTTTGAAGAGAGATAAACAAATCAGAAGCCTGTTATAGATATACCTGGCATATGACCTTTTTTCACCATCTGAATTCCCTTTGCATTAACTGAAGTGTCTTGAATAGCTCCCATGTATTCCTAGAATGTTAAAATAATTCAGTCTAAAATACCAAAATAACACACAAGAAGTTCTATTTCTGTTGTTCTTCAAAAAAACCCAAACAAAAAAAACCCCAAAAAAACAACAAAAAGAAAACCTAAAAGCAAACAAAAAGCCACCCCCTCCCCCCACCCAAAAAAAAAAACCCCAAAAAAACCAAAACAAAACCAAAAAAACCCACAACAACCAAACCCAAACAAAAGGTCACAAAACCTATTCCACAGCAATACAGAGGAATGGAGCAATGTTTGCAGGTACTTGCCCTGGAAGTATAACATAGGAACATGTAATAGAAACTTTTTGGTCAATATATTAAGCCTACCAGCTCTTTTCATGTCAGGCATAAATTTAACCCACTTAACAGTTGCTTATGAGTTTATTTTATAAAATAATGCAGAAAACTCATAAAACTTGTAGTAAATATTAACTTAAAGACAGTTGGAACCACAACCTGGTAGACAACGCTGATCCAAGTTAAACCTCATGCCAAAAGTACACAATTTCAGAAATGCTAATGCTTAAATCTGAACAACTGCCTTCAATACTCAGGTTGCTTTAAATACCACTTTGCAGTGATAATGTAATACACTGAGGTTCGTAATACACTGAGTTCTAGAGACTTCGATTTGACATGCAAGTTTTCTAGAACATGAATCTGAACTATGCTATCATCATAAAGAATATTACCAGATTTCTGATAGAACTGTTGGGACCATTACATAACAGACCATGAAACTTAGAAACTTAAGAGTTAACAAAAGCATACAAAGATAAGACAGTAGAAAACTGTCTGGTTGCTATCCTAAAATATATTACGGCAGTAAAAAATGTAACAGTGTTTGTTTCAGAAAAGACATAAAGATCTTCATGTGACAAATTCTTATACATCATACCTGAGGCGTCAGCAGAGTTAAATAAAGAAAAATCTGGCTACTTGATAATGCATGTTTACTTCTCTTATGCTCTCTAGGGTACAAATTTAAAATAAAGCACTTTTCAAGAACAGGACACATAACATGAATGTAATGCACCCTCCCTCACTGCCATGCATGTCACAGTTAAAAGAATTAGACACATATAACCTGAGAGGTGAAAGCTTTGTGTACTCACATCCCCATCTAGTGGCCTCTGGTCATCAGAATCCCTGGATGGACTGATGTCCTGCCGCATCACCCAGATAGGCTCCTTAGGTTCATCAGGGGTATAAGGAGAACGGATGGTCCTTGTCTTCACTTCCTCAATAGCTTCTTTAATATCCTTGATGGCCAGTGAAATTGCATCTCTTTTTTCCTTGCTGTACCGTTGTACAGATTCTCCCGAGCCAGATGTAACTCGAGAACCAGATGTTAGCTGGCCATTACTTTCATGCCCACCGCTGACAAGAGCCTGGCTATGCTCCAGACTCTGCTCTGACTCTGGCATGTCTTCAGCTGCCTTATCTAAGCTCTGGGAGCTCATGCTCTGCTTCACCTCTGCTACAATCTGATCTATGTCCTCCTCTTGTTCGTAACTATCCATTCTTGGGTAGGGTGCAAACTCTGCTTCCTTTTCAGGGCTGTCAGACTCTCCATCAGACCGTTCATCATAATGGTGAAGGCGGGCACCAAGTGCCTCCTTGCGGTAATTGTCAGCTTCCTCCCTCTCCCGCTCATATTGCTGGATGCCCTCCCTAACATCAAGATCTGGTGTGTCTCCTATTTCCTCATACACATGCTCCTGCAGCCCATAGTCAGCGTAAGCCTCTGCATACTGTTCATCCTCTCCTCGATGGAAGAGGCGATGTGTGTAGACATAACCTGAGTAGGCTGCATTCATGGCTTCCTCATGCTCAATGGAATGGAAATGTAAGTGATTGGGCAATGTTCGGTTATGAATGGCCTCGCCATGCTCAGCCTCGGCATTCTCTGTGTACTCCTCAGACTCAGGCCTGTACTGCACTGCATATGCACTCTCATCCTCATTTTCCTGCAATCTCTCAACATCATAACTATCCTCCACTGTGGCTATCACATCTCCTTCTGCAGTATCTGTGTGATTGTGGAAACCACTCTCAGTGCTGGCTGACCGAGCTAACATGCCTTCCTCCTCCTGCCCAGACAGGCCCACGTGGCTGCTGCTGGTGTGCCTTGGGTAGCGAACCGCATACCTCTGCTCCTCTTCCACCTCTGAGTGCTCCAGGTCAGCTTCCACTGACTCACTCACGGCTCTGTTTGCTGGCTCTTCACTGATCTCCCCCTCAGGTGGTCCAACCAAATGGTTCATGGCAAGTTTTGGAGAGTAGGTCACTTATTCTGCTGACATTTTGTCTATCACAGCTGAAATAAAAAAAAATAAAAAAAATAAAACAAACAAACAAACAAACAAACAAAAAACTTTAACATTACCCCCAATAAAAAACTGGAGTTAATAAACAGAAGCAATAAGATGCACCCTTCCTTCTCAGCAGACAAACATCTGACTCAGCTCTGCAGTCAGGTAATAGCACAACAGTATGATATCCCATGCAAATGATCTCCAACAGCAGCAACCAACAACAACACCCTTGGGGACTGCACTTCCCCCTTGCATGGACAAATTCTTTATGGAAGTATCATTTCCAAATAACCCCTTGGAGATACCTGTATGCACTGCAGTGGCATTGCAATGATGCTGTCATATTAAAAAAGTTAATTTTTGCCAGGAAGTGAAAGATGGCAGAGATGACAGAAATATTTCACCTTAGTGAAATTATTATTGAAAGCACTTATTGAAAGTGCTCCAGCACTTTCCCTACAGATCACTAACTTGGAGCAAAGGAAAGCTGCTGTAATGTAAAAGAGCAGATTTAGTCCTGTAATAGGAGTCTGCAGTTGCTCAGATACATGAGAGTTATGCATTCAATACTTCTTCAGTATGACATCTTCAGTGAACTAGTCACCCTATGCACTTTTAAAAAATCAGCAGAAATTAAAGTTCTACTGTAGCAGGCCCAGGGCCTGCAATGGCTCCTTGAAGGTCAGAAGCCTGAGCTAGGAAATGCCAAGTCACGATGACTGGGCCTTAGAAGCCCCTCTCTTCCGCCTTTCGGACCCTGCTTATCTCTCTGTAAGCCTATAGGTCACTTTCCCCTGACCCTTTCTATTGGACAGTTTCCAAAACCTCTGTAGGGTACAAAAACCCCTAATTCTGCCTGGTTCGGCAGAAGAGCTGTCACTGAGACCCTTCGTGGAAGACCCTAATAAAGAATCTCGCGGAATCGTCAAACAGCCATCTCCTCTCTCTCCCTGCGTCTGCTGCTACGGCCACAAGCAAGCAAAAAGAGCTGATAATCATACAGAGCTGATAATCACTAAAGAGCTGAAAATCACTTGAGCTTGCTTGGCTGCCTGCAGCTGGGAATGGCTTGGGAGATCGGACCTAGCCTGAGACCTAGCCTGAGCCTCCACTGAGCTATCCTGGCCACGGCAGTCCAGCGGGCGCAGCCCAGCTGGAACCTGCTGAGATATTCTACTCTCAGGGCGCAGTACATCTGCAGCACCTGTTTCTCCTTCCTAGAGAAGAATCAGGTGCTTTCTCTTCTTCTTTCTAGATACAACACAGTTGTCTTCCTGGAATCTACCTATAATCAGTTTAAGACGGCTTCCTTCCTAAACATAGTGACAACATTTCTAATATCCGTAACCATGACTGCATTGAGACTAGTGGGGAATCTCAGCCTTGCTAATTGAGTAAAAAATCTCAAAAGGTCATGTAGTTACTAGAGAAGTCTGCCAATAATAAAAAATATGCAGCGAACAGAAACAGGCCTATCTGGCTCATAAGGTTTTCTTTTTATAAAACACCTTCAGCTATTTGGAACCTTGTTCTACGTGTTTAAGATGCAGTGTCATAAAGAGGACCTGTCATGTCCTTTTATCTACCTAAATCAAGCCACATATCAATAAATAAAATACAGCTCTAGCTTGTGACTTTCTGACAAGTACTAAAAGAAAAGGTACCTATTGGAAGACTGCTAACTTGAAGGATCTATAAAAGCATGTGTCAACAGCCAACTAAAAAAATTAATGTGAATGTGAAATAGAACTTGGATCAAGTCTAGTAAATGGAGGTAGGGAGGCTCAGGTGGCACTTTGCTGACTAAATGAGCTCTGTGCAGAAGAGCAGTAGGAATAACTTCCTGTGAGGAGAAAGCAACAGCAAATTCAGTTGCTCTCTATCAGAAAAGTTGACAGGCAGGCAAGCCAAGGTATGCGTCAAACTAAACTTCCACAGGAAATCCAGAGGGTGCAGCTTCCAGCTCAGTGAACACCCCTTGCTTTTATTACATCTAATGTTTTAGCCCTTTAAACACAGGAGTCCTTAAAAAAAATACAGTTGTAAAGTAATAGCTAATAAATCATATTAGATGGACCTATAAGGATGTTGTACACAAACTAATCCCTTTTCAAAATAACTATGCAAAAACCCAGTTTGTTTTTCTCAGCTAATGAAAGCGAGTTAATAAGGTTTCAGTGACAAGATAAAGTTTTTTCCAGCTAAGACTTCCAAGGCATTAGGAAAAAATGGGTAGAATACAGGTGTATATACTGGTGTGCACCAGAACTAAACACTCTTCCCCCCACAGAGCATATGGTAAGAAAGCAAGAACAACAATATCAGACAGCCTTCCATTTTTAGCCCAGAAAAAGGGTGAGGATGCCAAGGTTCAAGAGCCCTTTGAAAAGTCTTTCCCAAAGAGAATTAGAGCAGAGGAATTCAGCACAAATAGCTTGGTTTGTACCCCGCACTGTGAGCTGCAGATTGAGCTCCGGGTGGCAGGAGACCCAAGCAAGAGGCCAGAAGTGCCAACTCTTTGCAAAACATAGGACACAAAGATGCTGGTGCCAGCCAGACGGATAAACAAGATGGCTACTGAGACACAGCCGGAGTCAAAGACTCGGGAGGGGAAGTGAGTCTTTGGCACACTTGGACTGTGAGGGGACAAGAGCCTGGGGCTTCCTTTCCCCAGGCTCCCTCCTCAGAGGCTCAGAGCTTGAGCTGTTTCTGTGATACGGCACCATGAATAAATGCCTTTATGGAAAGAGACATCCAAGCCTCTGCTGTTGGAAACCTGGGGTCAACAGCCAGGAAACCCGGGCTGGCCTGTGAGAATGTGTACGAATCAGGTGGGGACCTGTCAGGTCACTGGAATGGCCACCATGAAGGGTGGTGGCCTCGGTCCCAGCTGTGACAGGCCCTGGTGGTGGAAGTGTGACTGTCAGAGTCTCATGAATGGCCAGGCTGGGAAGGCTCTTTAACATGGCCTGCTTTCATTTAAGTAAATTATAAAATTTCCACTCTTCTCCACGTGGAGAGAACTAAGTTAAAGTAGAGGGTTGATTTAAAAATCTACCTAAATTTCTTGCATTCAACTAGCCCCTGACTTGTGACTCAGTGTCATTGGTCACCCTCAGAACAAGGGTAGTGCTAGTCAAATCAAGTTACAGACAAACACAGGATCAACTTTCTTAAGTTTTATCACATGTATCCTGATACATCTTTAACTTAATTACGTTTTTAGAAAAGAAGGCAAAAAAATTGGTTACATGAAGATTACTCAAGTCAAATAAGGTATCAAATGTCACATTATTATGACAATAAAAGTACTGATAATTGCTGAAAATAAGTTATCCTGTTTTAGAAGTCTCAGTACACGCTTGCAACATAGTGAGTCTTGTGGACAGATAGCATTGCTGACATGTCTTAGAGAGATTACAAACCACACAAAATATGGCTAAAAAACACCTGGGAGACCCATCATTTTCCTCTGACAAAGTTATAGCTTAGAAAGTTCCATGCATAAAATTTTTCTCGTTTAATGAATTCTTTCAGCTTGGTTTCAACTACTGATATCCCAAAACTTTCAAGGTTGCATATTTTGAAGGTATGAGGAGGAAATGTTAAGCTTTACTAAAAGCTTTTTACTGAAAAACACCCTTCTGTTTGCCTTCCTCCTATAAATTAAATTCCAGCTTTCAATTTCGAAAACAATAACTTATTATTTATTTTGAAATCTTAAAAAAAATCTTACTTGTTTCAAAGTAAGTTGACTTAGAAAGCTGATCTGAGTGAATGGCCTCAGGTCACCTCCGTCTCAGTAATTTTCAATGAAAAGTGAGCTTCTGAGTCAAGAACATTTATTTTACTGTTTAACAATCAGTCTTGAGAGAGTGATTTAACGAACACCCATGAAGATTGGGTGCTAGAAGTTACTAAACCCCTGCTTATACATGACAGCTGGAAGAATACTAAACCCCGCTTATTATTTATTCTTAGCAGCTCTTTCCTCAAACAAATACAAGGCCTGCTTGATCTTTCCCATCAGACCTGCAAAAAGCTCTTTATTTCCTGCAAGCAAACAAAAATCAATAATCTACATAAAATGCCATAGACAGAAGAGAATATAAGCAAGAGAGGTTATCCAACCTTGGAAATACAGACACAGCACCCATTTGAATGATATTACAGTCTCACATTAATTACCCAGAACAGCAGCTGTGCTCTGGTAATCAAACATATTTGGGAAAGTGCTCTGTAAGCATTCTTAGCTTTGTACATAGGACTTGATGGATGAATCCATCTCCACAACAGAGAAATCAGAGGCTGATTACTACTGCAACTAACTCTCTGCTGAAGGTTAAACTACCTTCCTGTCTGTAAAGAAGAAAAAAAAATATGTATCCATATATTTCTTAAGCAACATGAAGTTCAAAGTTTAAGAATTTTTTTCTGCTACTTTAAAACACCATCAAAGGGCAGACTATCACCCTAGAGCAAGAACTCAACACACATGCCAAGTTCTACTCAGGAAAAGATATGCAGCAAGAAAATGTGAAAGTGTGAATATTCAGTTTCCAATTTGGTTTGCTATTTCTTACCCAAGTCCAGACGAATAATTGTTTGATTTCTTGTATATGCAGGCAGAAACTATTATTATTATTATTATTATTATTATTATTATTATTATTATTTTAATGGTTTCTTCTATATGAGCACTATACATCGTATTTCCATAATTTAACGCTGACTTGAATAAAAGCTCAAACTCTTGATATGTCTGTATACTATAGTTAATGTTTCAAAACAAATCTGTGTGCCACATGGAATCTAGACTACACACACACGTTTTTCTGTCACATAAAGGATAACAGGATAACTAAGGAAGAGACCACAGGAGGTCTCCAGACCAACCCTGCCCAAAGCACAGCCAGCTTTGAGCTAAGACCAGGTTTCTCAGGGCCTTATCCAGTTGGGGTTTGATAACCTGCAAGAATGGTGATGGCAACAGCTTGTTTGG